GGAACAGAGATGTTCGGGACTTCCAAACCCTCGCCACACCCTCGAGGGAACGAGGGTTCGGAAGTCCCGAACATCTCTGTTCCACGGCTCAAAATTTTTCTCGAGGGCTCGCTGCTTATATGAAATCCGACAACACGAAATCGATACCCCTCAAAAGCTTATATCGAGTGACCGAAGTGCTATTTTTCGAGGGTTCGAGCACTTGGTGAGAGCCTATTTTCGAGTACTCGCTGCACCCCTCGAACGACTGGTTGGTTAATAACTGGCAGAATAAATGATCATTCTTATTACTTATACAAAGAGATAGTGTAGATAATGTGCTGACTAAAGAAATAAGTAGAAAAAATCTTTCCTCTATGATGTCTCTCGAATTTCATGTTTTATTTTTAAACTTTTCATTCACCCCTCATCAACAATTAATACATCACTGAGAACTTTGATAAACAACTTGAACTATAAAAATATTCTTATATCAGAAGATTTTTTCTACGATCTGAAATAGATTTATTCATTTTGCGACCTTTAAAAAGATTTCATAGACGAATTAAAATATATTAAACTTGTAGAGAGTACTGTTTCACACTATTGCATTATCTATTATCAAATTTTTGATGCATTAATTAATACCTTTATAATAAACGGAAGTAAAAATGCATTTCATAAAACTTAGAGAATCATTAAATATAATTAGACGGATATTTTTCTATATATAAGTATTATGGACGTGACGTTGTCCCAGTCAACCAAGTTATGTTTTGATTTCAACGGAAATAATTTTCCTTCATTCGAAAAGTTTCTTCTTGTATTTTTTTCTCATGTTATTAAACCCTAGAAAGAAAGAAAAACATTGTAAAAAAAAAATTTTATATTTTTTATTTTTTAGGGATACATTACGTGATATATTATCATTATTAAGAACTACGAATCACCCGCAGGGTGATAATATGATAAAAGTAATGAGAAATTGGGCACGTATGAATCAAGTGCCTGTTTAAAGTAACAATCAAATCATTTTTATAGTATGTGTGTGTGTATGTAACTTGTTCATTGTTGTTGTATATTATTGTAATTGATTTTATATATTATATGAAAAAAAAAAAATAGAAATATTAACTTTATACAGTTCATTGAACAATTTTTCAGCACAAATTTATTATGTCAATCTGTCGATTAATAAATGCATTAAAAATCATAAGTCACTTAAACAGAATTTAGTTTTTTTTTTTTAAGTGCCGATGAACAATGTGTTTTTCTTTCTGTATGAATGAAAGTTAAAATATTAAAATATTCTTTAATTACAACTATTTAACATGTAATGATAAGATTAGCCGAGCTTTCTGACGATCTTTGTAATCTAGATGCATAAATAATAATTTTGACATTAGGTCTTATTATCTATTATTATCTACACTATTTTAGTAAAAAATGTACTTTTTTTTTTCTTCTTCTTCCTTGTACTTTATTTCTTTTAATATCTTCTGGAGAAGGACCGTCAACATTTTTTTTCTTGACAATACGATAACACGAATTTTTTTTAATCTCATTTCAGGCAGTTATCACTAAATACATGTGTCATCTATTTCTACTACGTACATTTATAGTATTGTTATCTTTGATTCTTCGCCCATAGTCTGTACTGGAGAGAGAGAAAAAAAAAAAAGTAACATTGTTGCTTCTGTAAAAAGAAAATTTTAATACATTTTTGACATGATAAGGTTATATATAAAACAAATCTTTTTTTTTTTTTAAATAAAAAAAACAAAAAAAACAAAATGACGAGAAAATCATCTTAAAAAGGAAGAAAAAGAGTAATTATATATTCTTGGTTGTTTTGTTTCGGTTATAAATATGTTTTTAAAAATCAAAATCAAAACAAAGATATATATATTTATATACATTAAAGAGAAGAAATACAAATGAATATAGTTTGGATGGTACAAAATAGAGAGTGAGAAAGAGAATTAGTTCAAAAAAATAAAAATAAAACACTTTATTAAACGAACATTTATTGACAAATAATAATAATAGGAACGGGATAGAGAGAAATGTCCGGTGAAATGAAAAAAAATAAATGTTAATCTTAAGTACACTTTCAGTGTCCATTTGTGTAGAGTTAATTTTAAATTATATATCTTATTATTGAATATTCTTCTATGTTTCACATCCTACTCTATAAATCACAGATTCAAGATAGAGTTAAGCAAAACACAAAAAAAAAAGAAAAAAAATATGAATTGAGTTTTTTTTTATTTTGTTTTCTTCTATCAAATGGTGGCCAATGTTGACAAAATGATCGGAAAGAGTATTATCACAAAATGTGTAAAACAACATCTTTTCTTTATTTTTTTTATCCTGGTGCACAAATGGACTTTTACTTTTTGTTTCAACTACAACATTTATATAATTTTTAAAAAAATATTTTTTAATATATTTTCGATAAATATACGTGTTTCTTTGCCTCTATCTACTATACACGTACGTGATTTTTGACAACAGATAAAAAACAAAAAAGAACAATATACGAAAAGTCACAGTACTATTTGCATGTTTATATAAATTAAAATATAAAGAGAAAAACAAAACAAAAAAGAAATCAACCGGACGATTTTTCTTGCTGATATATACCTTTATTTGTCTCACTGGTATTAGATCAAGTTCTTAATTTAATTATTATCTCTTGTAAAACATAATGATCTTGGATATTTCTATATACATAGCGTTTTTAATCGAAGAGAGATAAAATGATCTCAATTTCTCATCCTTTTCGTGACACTATTTATGTACAAGAATAAAATAATGATATCTTACATATTAATCTAAAATTGAGTTTAAATTGAAGATTTATTTTTTTTGTTTTTTCGTATTTATAACTAGATTTTGACCATAGTAATGATGAAAATGTTCAGATCATTTTTTTTTTTCTTCTATTACAACGCATTATTTAGAAAATATCTATGAACAATACATTTTTAAAATAGATAATAAAAACAATAGAAAATATATTATGATATTTGACAATCATTTGGTGTTTCACTTAATTTTTCTGTTTGAGTTTTTTTCTTCATACTTGTTCGACGTATTAAACTTCTACTACGACTAACACCTTTTTCATTTTCAATAAATTCTTTTTTTTTCAATCTTTCACTTACTTTTCGCCGTAATATTGGACTTAAAGTTCGAGCGGCAGATAATTGAACAAGACTTAATAGTTTTAAAAATATGTCAATTATACTTGGACGATCGAGTGCTGAACATTCAGCAAAACGACAATGTAATGGTCCTAATTCTTGTAACATATCTTGTACTTGTTCTTCTTCAATTTGACGTTTTTCAGTACGATCAGTTTTATTACCAACAACAACAATTGGTATTTCTTGATAATTTGTTGATCGCTGTTCTTTTATTTGTTCAATAATACGACGAATTTCTTCAAATGATGCAAGATTATCTACACCTAAACAAAATGATCAATAGACTAGAATAAATATATTATAAATTAGAGATATAAAATACTTACTGTAAACAAGTATAAAAGCATGCGATGTTGCAATAGATAATCGACGCATGGCTGGAAACTCCATGTTACCTAAAATAAAAACATTAAAAAAAAATAAGAATAAGAAACATTAAACAATCGATAATTTACCGGCAGTATCCAGGATGTCAACCTATATAAAAGAGAAGAAAAACAGAAAAGAAATAAAAAATCGAATTTTTTTTTTGTTATTATTAAAAAATTTACTTTAATTGTTTTATCGTCAACTGTATATTCTCGATAATATAAATCTTCAACAGTTTCACGATAACTTTCAGGACATTTTCCATTCAAAAACATTTGTATTATACTACTTTTACCTGTACGACTAGCACCCATTACAACTAACCGATATCGTTGGTCATTATCGGCCATTATTTTTGTTTTTGCTGTAGGAGATAACAAATCAAGATTCTAAATAAATGTAAAAAAAAGTTAATAGATATGTTTTGTAAATATTTTTAACATTGCATTTATGAATCAAATGTTTAATTGCGAAGAATATTTTGTGTATACACACTTCTGTATCTTTTCCCATCATAAAAGATAAGTACAAAGTTTAATATTTTTCTCATGCAATTTGTTACTATTTGAACGATTATACACGAATGAACAATGATAAAAAGATTTGTGAAAGGATATTCTCGATTATACGTAGAATTATGAACGAGAATTTAGCGATTTGATACATAATATCATAAAAATTTTCAATTTCAGTGTATATATATATTTTCAATCAACGAGAAGAATATAAATACCTTTTGAAGCTTATGGGTCTGAATGAAGAATGAATTTTTTTTTCTTTCTGATACTTTTTCCAACGGAATTTGATGTTAGAAAACAGATGTTTTTTTGCTGATCTATTGACTTTATTTCTTCTCTCAAAAAAAAAAAAAAAAATCTTCTGTATATGTTATTCTCGAGAAAATCAAACATGGATAGAAAATAAAATGTTGAAAAAAAAAATGCCGTGAGGAATGCATCGTACTCATCATCTAACTTCTAAGGTAGATAAAGTGAATTTACACTAAAATCTCGTTTAGTGTTTTTTTTCGCCTTTCCTTCCTGTTACAATACATAAAATTGCATTTATTTGCTTTTATAATCAATTTGTGGGACAGTCTATTTCATCATCTATAGTACCGAAAGTATTTTATTTAATCTTATATGAATTATAATCTCAATATCCGTCTGCGCAAAAGTAACAAGAAAAAAGAAGTATGCTTAAGAATAGAATAGAATCAAAGGATATAGTTTCAACAACAAAGCGCACGATATGGATTTTCAGTTGAATGAAAAAAAAGAATAAAAAACAAAATTGTCTATGTCTATACATGATAATGAACGTATTATCATGAAAGAAAAAAAAAAGATTTGTTAGTGAAATTCTACACTTTGTCAAGTATAAATTGCACATACATCATTGTCTAACAGTAGTCATGATCTTTTTGAAAATAAAAATAAAAAAAAGAAGAAGAATAGGTTGAAAGACGAAACATAATTGTTATCGGCCTATTGTGTTGTTCAAGAATAAAATGCAAAAAATATAGAAGAAATGAGATGATAGGATCGACTTGCAACAACTGTAGGGAATCACACCGAATAAATGAGAACATCAAGAAAAAAAACATACTGATGATGGAAAAAGAATGAAAAAAGAATTGAACTAACGGATGCATTTTCTATCATGTTCTTCTGTTGCGGATAAAGATGTGGTAATAATCTTCTTTTACGTCTGTTAATTCTGTTACGGTTAAGTTTAAATTTTCAATCATTGTGTTGTTATACTTCAAGAAAGTATTAAAAATGCTTTCTTGTTCGAAATGCACCAAGACTTAATATATTCCGATCATTCTACTAGGTTTCGATCAGCACTAACATTATCTCTTTCACGAACTAGAAGGTCTATCCAAAAACAAAAAAGTACATCAAGAAAGTGTTACTTTAGAAAATTTTTAATTATTAATAAGAATCGAGAGCAAGATCAGTAGTACCCATTTAATGAAAACAAAGCCTTTTTATTAAATATTTCATTGAAAGCAATAGTACTTTCTATTCCATCGTTGATTTGAACAAATAATATGAATAAATAAATAAAAAATACTATTCAATAGAACTTGAAAAGGTTGATTCTAATTCATTAATTTACATTTTGTTTGATTAAAATTTTATGTGTTATTCGTTTAGATAGATGGCGCAGTTTTTTTGAAAGAAGTGACTGTAATGCTTATCGAAACTAGTATAATTAATTACACATCAATATTTCTTTTTGTTGATTGTTAGCATAGATTAACACTGGTTATACGTTAGGGTTACTTAAAAAAAGTCTATATTCACTCTTCATCAAGTTTGGTACTAAGAATATCAATTCAGTACAACTCTTAAACATAGTTAAGTGAGAACATTTATCTTGTTATACAATAATATAGTTCAAATCTTCTATATTTTAAAAAATTTTCG